GACAGTGAGGGGTAAGGCCCCCAGTGACCTGGCCAGGCCAGTCTAGCAGCAGCAAAGTGCAGACTCATCCACCTATTGGCCACGTCACATTTGAAAGTGAACTCATTTGGGTGAATCCTGTGTAGAAACTAGGTGAGGCTTGAGCCTGCAGGGACCAAAGTGTGTTGGGTGTGTGTGTGTGTGTGTGTGTGTGTGTGTGTGTGTGTGTGTTTATATTTCTGTCCTTAATATAGCTTTTCTGTAAATGTCTCTTTGTAAAGGTTATTGGTGTTAATTAGTTCAGTGGAACTGGGGCTAATCACTGATGGCTGATAGTGGGGAACATACTGGAATAGAGGATAGAGCTGATAGACATAGAGAAAACTCACCCTCAACTCCTCAGGGAGTACTCTAAGACCCCAGAGGGGAAGATACAGACAGCCTTATTCTAAAAGAGTCCAGAGTATTGTTATATATAATATGAAATAGCATATATATGTGTATATATAATATGATATATATAATATATATAACAATGTATATTATACACATATAAACCTTCATAGATAAGTAAATATAGGACACATGCACACACAAATTACACACATGAACATTATATATCCCCCCTCCCACAGTAGAATGTAAGCTATTGAGGGTGGAGAGTTTTGTCTTTGTCTTTGAATCCCAGCCGTGTTACACAGTGACTGATATGTAATAGGTGCCTAATACATTCTCATTAATTGATTGATTGGCTGAAGTTTGAGTAGAGCTTTAGTGAAGAAGAATAGCTAGTTCTGTATTTTGTATTTTTATGATCACGGGCAAGTCATTTGACTTTTTTGGTTCTCAATTTCTTTTCTTTATTTTTGGTTCTCAATTTCTTCATCTTCAAAAGAAGGGATGGGTGTTTTTCTTTTCTCTGATGTTTCCAAGATCTAAAATCTGTGACCCTATCATTGCAGATTTACTTTTCTTTCTATTTAATTCTTCCCCTTTTATGAGTTTTCTATTTTAATCTATGTTAGACCACAGTGACTCTGTTTTACCCTGAAAGTATTTTTGGTGGGCTTTTTCTCATTGCTTCTAATGTTTGTTTTAGTCCCAAATAGGTTCCACTTTGGAAGGCTAGGTATGAAATACCTCTCCAAGTATCAGAAAATGAGTGGTTTTTTATAGAATTGACCTATACTCCCTTCTTTTTTCTTTTGAATGGTCACAAATGTTCACCCTGTTTAATTTCTTCATGCTGTCACTTACCACATGGTACAGCAAAACCAGAGCAATTCAACCACAAAGAATCCCCAGCAAAAGCTCTACCACGCAATGAGGCATTATAAATGTCAAAGTGATTTTCCTAAAGTTCAAGTCTGACCATGTCACTTACCTCATCCCCACTCAATAAACTCCATTGGCTCCATATTATCTCTAGGATCAAATAAACTACCGTGTTTGGCAGTTGAAGATCTTCACAACCGGACCTCATCCTGCCTTTCCCACCTTCCGACATGTTGCTTTCTTCCACTTCCTCTCTGGTTCTGCCATGCTGGTCCACGTGCTTTTCCTCACGTAGGACAAGCTATCTCTCAGTTCCTTGACTTTGCACTGGCCATCTCTGGCCCAGAACGTTCTCTCTCCTTACCCCTATCTTCTCATCTTGGAATTTCCGGTTTCCTTCAAGACTTAGCTTAAGTTGCATGAGATCTTTCTTGATTTCCCCAGATGCTAGGGTCTTCTTCTTCAAGTTTACCTTAAGTTGCATTACACGTTTTGTATATACATCTGTACATCTCTATCTCTGTCTCTGTCTATCTCTGTATACCACAGTAGACAGAGAGCTGGTCTTGAGGTGAGAAAGACCTACGTTCACATCCTTCCTCTGATGCATTCTGGTTGTATAACATTGGACAAATCACTCATCCTCTTAGTATTTTAGGCAACTCTAAATTGAAGAAAAAAATGTTCCTCTGCATTTGTACAGGGAATTTCCTTACCACGAAGGCCCAGTCTCTATCCCTATATTTGTGTATGCTGTCTCCCCCATCAGAATGTGATCTCCCCAGCGGTAGGATTTGCATTCCCAGTGCCTAGCACAGTACCTGACGCTTAGTAGTTACTTAATAAATGCTGGTGTGATTGATTACAAAGCCCACGGACAAAGCGTTCCCCACATAGGCCTCATTTCAAGCACCCCGAGTTTCTTTCACTGCAGTTACTGCTTGTTGGCTTGCTTCATTATTAAGGAGTCCATTGAAAGTCCCCTCGGGTCCTTATATTATTGTCCTGGGCTACAGAACAACATTCAACAGCAAAGAAAGGCCGCTACTTAATACTCATCATTAGAGACTCAACTAGTTTATTTTATCTCATCACAAAGCATTCTCTGATGAACAATAACTTATTCTTCCAGTTAGTGGCAATGTGTGGCAGATTGTTTCCCTGGTAGGAAGTGGACATTATATTGCTCAAATAACACGTCACTGAATAGTCATGTCTATGGTGCCTAGGAAGCATGTGGACCCATTTAATTTTTTTGTGAAAGTTCCAATGCATCCTACAGATACAGCTTTCCAGCCAGTGCATTTCTGCCGTCAATACCGGTCAGCTCAGAAAGTGACAAACTTCTAAGGTTCTATCCCTCTAAAGCAAAGGGTCTGAGGTGGTCAATTCGAGGCTACATATGTCTTGCCTTTTATCACCTGATGGGCATAAAATATTGTGATTCAGGCTGAGGCTTCCTGACACTGGAACAGTCTGCTGATTCAGTGGAAATGGCAATTAAACCAATTATTCCATGTAGACGAAAACAACCAGGTGCTCAATCAATTGCTTCAGTTTCTGTGTGAAGGCTTAGAAAGTAGGGTCTCATTTTAATATCACATTAGGAGAAGGAAAGCCTGGCCAACCAAGGAAGCTGAACGGCTGTAAGTATGAGGAATTGCAAGGTTTTTATTTTCAGCTATCAACAGACTGGAAAAAAAGGCCAACTTATTTATATTCCTTTACCCTTAATGTGGGTACTGAATAAGTTAAAGAACATTTCATCCCAAACACAGATTGCTTTCATTTCAGTTAAGCTAATGTTTTGGTTCCTTATATATTTTCTTATTTTCATTAATGTCAAACACCAAACTTCTTTTTTTCTTCTTCTTAAAAAAAAGATTTACAAGCACTTATACGGCACTCAACACAAAGTAGGCTAAAGGCTCATAATAGTGACTTTTGCTTTTTAAAAAACATCCAGCAGACTAAAATAAAATCATTTTAATTAACTCCTTCCTGAGTAACTAAAACCTTGGAATGTGCTGAAAAGTTATAATAAATAAGGCAGTCAAAGATTAACCAGCTTAACATGTATTTTCTTTTAAATTAAACTATGTAAAACGTACAATATATTTCATGATGTACAAACCGTGTGTGGGCCCAGAGCCAGAGAGACTTTTCCTTAAGTGCCAAATAAATTTACGGAGTACCTTGCCTTTGAGGGAGAAAGAGGCATAACTTAGAGGCAGTTTGTTAGGTAAAAATAACATTTAAGGCCCAGCAAGTAAATCAGTCAACAGTTTTTGCTTTTTTGTTATAAAGTGGTCAAGATAGAAATGCCTTTGAATCAATAGGAGAAGCCGACTAACGGATTGGAATTAAACTCCAAGCAAGTGCCACAAAGGGGCCAAATGAATTCAATGACCTGCTACTCTACTGCTCTGACTATGGCATGATTTAAATCACCTTTGCTCATGTTAAAGGTGAGGATACAGTTTTTCTTATTTGATTACAAGGTTCCACAGTGTGTAAACTAATTCTTTACATGTAATTTCATAGAAACCACTTAAAGTCTACAAGGCAGCAGATTCTCACTTTGTGTTCCGACACTGGCTGTTAGCCAGGCCACTTTCTATTAGGGTACCTTAATGGTAGTGCATAAGTCCCTCAAATGAGCATGAAGGACATTTTTCTTTTAAGAACATTTCTTCTAAATGTTTATCTTAATTGAACACTAGAACTCTTCTTAACTACACCCCTCTTTGGATGGAAAAGCACAACCGCAAGGATGCCAAGTACCACTCACACTGTTGGGCTGGTCCAAGGCCAAGCTGATTTCCTGTGGGTGTGGAGACTTCTTAATACATCTCATGATAAAGTAGCTTTGGGGAGGACTTGCCTATTGTCAAATGACTTGTTTTAGATCTTGACTGCCATCTAATTTTTTTTGAGGGGGGGTCCATGAATGATTTATATGTGTTTGAAGAAGCTCAAAATATGTGGTTTGTAAAAAGCCCAAAGTTTGATTTAGTATAAACTGAACCCCACAAGTACGCTGTTGCTGCCACCTACAGGCCTGCTTGCAAGTCAAACTGTGGAGTCAGCAAAGCTGGTCTTCATGACCCCTTCCCCTACCTTCTTCCTTGTTTTCAAGTAATCTTCACTAAAATTTAACCTTTTCTAGGGGTATTTGCATTTTAATCCAAAGTAATCTATCAATGTGTAATATCAGAAATCAGGTCAGTGGAAAAAAATATTTCAGCCCTGAGGTCTCAACCAGTACTATGGAAATCATGCCTACTTGTGATGGCGGCCTTCTGTTGGTGAAGCTAGTTTTGGGAGGTGATTGACACAAGGCTGCTCTTTTGCCAGGGGTAGAACTGTGGCTCTGCTGCTACCTGCACAGAGTTCATCGCCTTTATCTATGAAAGTAGCTGCTTATTGAGGGAATAGAGACAAAAACATAATTAGTATTGAGGGTTGAGTGGAAAGTGTTGGATTTGGAGCCAGAGTACCTGAGTTTACACTCTTACTCTGCCACTTAATCCCTGTATAATTTTGGGCCAGTCTTTGAGCTTCAGTTTTCTCATCTGTAAAATGAAAGGGTTGGATTAGATCAGGGGTCCTTAAGCTAAGGTCTATAGAACTTTTTTTTAAAAATACTTTTGTAGCTATATTCCAATGTCATTGGTTTCCTATGTATTTCATTTTATGCATTTAAAATTAATACTCTGAGAAAGGGTCCATTGGCTTACTAGGCTGCCAAAGGGGTTCCTAACACATTAAGGTTTAAGAACCCCTGGATTAGGTAGACCTTTAAAGTCTTTTCTAGCTCTGCTTATATAATCCTATGATGTTGAGTGGGTTCAAGAGTGTCTCATGGAATTTGTAACCCATAAGAAGCTTCACCTTTCCTCTGTTACTTGCCTTTTATTGGCTGAGTTAGATATGGTCACTGTGACTAGACTTTGTCCTCAGTGGCAGGACTTTTTCAGAAAATCTGAAGTGTTGCCCCTAAGGTGGTGATTTAGGATTTCATCTCAAAGCAATACTAAGAGGAAGAATGCTTATAGTGGCTAGAGATAGTTCAAGATTATGGCCATTTCCTAATGAACCCTGAAGCTCTAAAACCTCACTACTAAATCTTTCTCCTTACTGTTCATACAGACTCCAGATTTTCAGATGAATCCCTCAGTGGCTTCTTTTCTCATCCGTGTGACTCTATCACCCATGAGTAATATTCTTAAGAATTAGCTATCTCAATGGAGTTTGGCATGTATTTTGAAGTTCCTAAGTAGTGTAAAACACGGAATTGGTTGGTTGTTCAGCACAAAAAGCCCATAAAGACCTATGCTGATGCTGTTGTTCAGTGCTTACTCCCAAGAGCAAAGGTACTGACAAGACAACTCAATTCCACTTACCAATTGAAATTCTTGAGGCTTTCAAGGCAAATGCCCATTCATATTAATGGACCCAATTCACTCCGGGAAATGCTTCCTATTTATAAGCTATTGTGACTTAAGCTGACTCTCCTACTTCCTTTGTGACCTGGGCTATTATATGATTCTTAAATTCCCCTGGACTTTGTGAAAACTGACTTGTACTCTTGTTGAGATGGACAAGATGCCTCTATTACCATGGAAGCAATTAATATTTTACACAAGTTATTTTGCAAATGGCAGGCTGTTTGAAGGTAGAATGTCCTTCCCAAACACACTGAGGAAAGCTATTTTATGATGAGATGTTTTGAATTGGAGTCATCTAGGGTGTTCTAGAAAGGATCCTAAGGAGCCAAGAAAAACATACAATAAAATTAAACAAATAAAACCCGCAAAACCGGGTATCTCCCATTCACCCCATCATGTGGGAATGTTTTTTAATGCAACGGTGCATTAATTTAGTCCTTTAAGGATTCTTTTTGAAACAAACAAAAAAGCTCTCAAGAAAGAGGGATGAGTCCATTGGAAGTTGGCAAGGTGCTCGCATCACCTCTTGTAGATGTCTTCCAACCACTTTTCATCGTCTTGCTCCTCATCATCTATTGGTTCCTCAGTTTCCAGTGGAGTAGGAATAAAGAACTGTGGCCTCACAGGTGGCTTGCTGACGTGAGACTTGAGTCCAAATTTGCGCTTGAGCAGGTGGAACTGCTCTTTGACAAAGTAGTAGAATTCATACTCATATCTCATGCGTTGGTAGAGAATTTGAATGGCCTCAGGAGAAGGGACGGTCTTTTTTACTGTCACAGTCATGTTCCCAAGTTTCCTATGTTCTGAAAATGAAAGAAATCAGAAACTTATCAGTATCCACCAGACTCAGATATTATGATATCATATATACACACATATAAATATATACCTACACACACATGTTATACATATATGGTGCAATGGATAGAGTAGAGTGCCGAGCCTGAGTCAGAGAGACTCATCTTTGTGAGTTCAAATCTGGCCTCAGACACTTATTAGCTGTGTGACCCTGGGGACGTCACTTAATCCTGTTTGCTTCAGTCTCTTGTCTGTAAAATGAACTGGAGAAGGAAATGGCAAACCACTCTAGTATCTTTGCCAAGAAAACCCCTAAACGAGGTCACAAAGAGTTGAATGTAACTGAACAAAAATGTATACATATATACATACATACGTGTATATGCACATACATATATATGTATGTATGTATTGCCCAAACACATTAATCAACTTTATTTGGATAAGAGAATCTAGAATTCTATGTTATTGATGGTAACTGAAATAAGTAGCTAAGAGACCAAGAAACAGGAGGGAAAGGTCCTCTCTTAACATAACCTAGAAAATACTGATATTGGTCTCATGGTTAATATTGACATTAGCTGGTTAAACATACCATGCATAATAGACATTCTCAATGTCAGTTTTTAATTACAATATATACGACATTTAGTAATTTTCCATTTAAGAACATTTCTTGATAAATATATAAAATCAGCAGTTATGAGATTCTTGAAATATTTTATTTTAGATGATCTTGCCAGTCAAAGAAGGCAAGAAAAATGTGGTATTTTATATCTTATAATAGTTAAAGTCTTTTTAAAAAAAAGAGTAGGTACTTTAAAGATCCTGTGCTGAAAGAAAAGGACTATCTTTTTAAGAAGAATATTCAACTGGTACTGCTGTTCCACAATGGGGAATGGAATATAACAGTTGCCAAGAATTAAAAAAAAGGAATATTATACAGACAGCAATATGGAAGTGCGTGGTGGTTGTGAACAGACTAAACCATAAAACCAATGAGAAACTCTGAAGGACAGGACTAACAGATGTCATCAAGGACTTGTATGAAAAGAAGGGAAAGTGGGCAGGTTATGGTGAGGGATGACAAGTAGGTAACCAGAATGCTTCCCTGGTATCTTCATGAGGTAAGGAGAAAGGAAGCAAAGACATCTATCGTGTTAGGTGGGCTGTTGTTGGTTAACTTGTAAGATGTTGGTAAGAGTTGTACATGATGGGCAGGCATGGATGGGTGGTAATCAGCATCATTGGAGAGAACTTCAAAATAGATGAAGTATGTAAGGTACTAGACTTCAAAGTATAATACACAACACAGAGTTACATTATTCCATTCAAACTGACTATTGGTTTATGCTTGTGTATCGATGAAAGGAATTGGTGGCAATAACATACATGGGAAACTTTTTGCAACAAGGTCTATGGAAGGTAAATTCATTCCTGAGCATGTTAAAACCTATGTTCATCCTTTATTCCTTCCTCCACTTGGGGTTCCATATTGACAAACTGAAGAATATGCAGAGACAGGTAACCTAGATAGACTGAAGGCTGCAGACCATGCCGTACAAAATCATTTGAAGGGATGAAAGATTTTTGGCCATGAAAAGGAAAAAAAAACAACAACTTTCATACGATAGTTGTCTTTAAGTATTGAAATACTGACATATGAATGGAGAATTATTAGATTTAGTATGTTTGCCCACAGAGAACTGACATGGGAGTAGTGGGTGAGGTTGTGGAGAAGTAGATTTAGGTTTGATATAAGGAAAACTTTTTTGCAAACAGAGCCAAAGAAAAGTGGAACAGGTTGCCTGAGGAGAGAATGAGTTGTTTTTTGCGGGGGGTCTTTAAGGGAAGACTAGATGATCACTTGTCAGAGAAATTATGGAAGGCATTGCTGTTCAAGTATGAATGGAATTAGACAGCTTCTGGGGTTCATCCCAACTCTGAGATTGTGTGTGCCTATGCTTTATACTTGATTTTAGTCTTAAGGACTGAAACATATAATTTTATTTTTTGACTTTCTGGTGAGGTCATCAGGGTTGAGTGACTTGTCCAAGGTCACACAGCTAGTAAGTATCATGTTTCTGAGGCCAAATTTGAGCTCAGGTCCTCTTGACTCCAAGGCTGGAGTTCTATCCACTGCGCCACCTAGCTGCCCCTGAAACATACAATTTTAAGAAAGACTCCTAGGCTAGCTTTCTCTTTGTTTCTCAACTAGCTACACTCCTTTGGACTGGATCCCATGGTGCCCTCAGGAATTTCATCATTAGGTAACTCATCATCAAGTGAGATCGTGTCAACTTTGGTACTTACACCTTCTCGACCCTTGGTACCCTCTAGCTCTCTGTTTGGAGGATAGAACAATGAACTCCTCCCAAATTCTCCATTAAAAAAGGGCTTCTAGGTCAGCCATTTCGTAATTTCCTAGTTGGCTGCATTCCTTTGGACTAGACTCTAGCATGCCCCAGTGCTGGGAACCTTCCTTTTCCTTTCCTCCTGTTTTTTAGTTTCCTTGAGAGAGTTCCTGTCTTTTTAGTATTGGAATACCCAGCACAGTACCAGGCACACAGTAGGTACTTAATAAATGTTTATTGTCTGACATACAATACACTAGTAGAAATGTAACTTGTGACATGTTATTTGCCAGTATGTGAATCAATGCATGCAGGCTGAATAAAAAATAAAAAAATTTAAAAAAATGGAAATGCTTTAATTTTTTTAAAGGGGTGCTTTAAATTTTTTCCTATTCCTGAAGTAGTTCTAATGCTATTTCTCTTCAGAGCTGGTTGATGACCTATATCCATATATATCCTCTTCCCACCCCCACCCCCATATTTTATAGTCATACCCCATTGTGACCTAAAATGGTCTTACCTTGCTTAAAAACCACCATATATATCATTGCTCTGAGCTGCCTGAATAATTGACTTGAAACAAAAATTAAATCTATTTGCAAATAAAGATTAGGCTGGGATCAATTTCTAAAGATTTAAAAAAAGTTTTAAAAATATCATTAGGACTGGGGTAGTATGTTCTAGTATTTTATTTAAAAAAATCCATCTAAGACTTTATAATTATCCCAATATGTAGTGAAAGAAGGGAAAGTGAAAAAAGAAGGGAATGTATTGCATTATACAATATTCAAAAATAAGTTTATGGGCATATGTGCGATTTGCTTATAATTAAGGATTGGGAGAAAGATAAAACTCAGGAATTTGCAGTCTCTTATCTGAGCCACTCACTAGATACCAACCCCTCTCCCTTAAGGTTCTTGCATAATTTAATGGTTTCCCCCCTATGCCACAGCAGAATTAAGGCCGAAGAATTTCTAAGAATGCACTGAATCTAATCCAACTTAATCGTTTCAACTTTGCCAATGTTTTGCAAAGTTAATTTATAAAGAAGTAGGCTTCCCTTTCAAGAACAGTTTTGTGGCTTCTGTGCTTTCCACTAGTGGACACAGAAGCCTGGGACATGGATGGACTGTCACACCTCCTTTTCCTCCTTACGATGGGAGGAAGACTCAACAGGGAAATAGCGATGGAGCCTGGAGGGGGAGGGAGTAATTGTCATCTCTACTCCAATCAATCATCGATAACCATTTATTAAGCATCTTGCTTTGTACCAGGCAATGTGCTAAGTGCTAGGGATACAAAAAGAGGCAACAGACAGTCCCTGCCCTCAAGGAGTTTACAAACCTAATAAAAACACCATTCTGAAGAGGGAGGCCTGTGGATCAGAGAGGATTTCCCTTCATACCCTCGCTTTTTAAAAGGAAATCTGGAACTTAGAATTATAACACACTTTACCAAACATTTTCACTTTCAAAATGAGGAATCTGACACCCAGAAAGGACAAGTCACTCGAGCAGGTCACAAAGTGAGTCAGCAGCAGATTAAAAATGTCCTGATGTAGGGGCAGCAAGGTGGTGCAGTGAATATGGAGTCAGGAGGACCTGAGTTCAAATTCAGCCTCATCAACTTGACACTTACTAGCTGTGTGACTCTGGGTAAGTCCCTTAACCTTGATTGTCTCAGAAAGAACGTCCTGATGCAAATTTTTGTCATGAATCCCATTATCCATAATACAAGAAACACCCAGCCTGCTCTAGAGGCAATAATGGAACAGGAGCAAAGACAATGGCTTGGGAGTCAGAAGGCCCAAGTTCATCCCCACCCCTGAAACTGACTGTTTGGGTGACCTTGAGCATCATCAAGACTCTTTTTTTTTATGGGCTAGACAATGGGGTTAAGTGACTTGCCCAGGGTCACACAGCTAGTAAGTGTTATGTGTCTGAGGCTGTATCTGAACTCAGGTCCTCCTGACTCCAGGGCTGGTGCTCTATCCACTGCGCCACCTAGCTGCCCCCATCACAAAGACTCTTGAACAACTTCTTTCTTTCCTGTGAAAGGCAGTCAGACTATGAGGCATCCAAGGTCTCTTCCAGCTCTGGAACAATGGTTCCATGCATAGCCACCTGAATTATGCAAGACAGTAATGGAGAGTGGGCAGAGGGGAATAAGGTATCCAAGAATCACAACTGAACCACCAAAATGGCAGGGCTACAGGCTTCCATTTCTGTCTGTTAAGTCCTCCACTGTCTTGTTTCCAGAATCCAGTATAACAGAAGAATAAAAAATCCTCCACTGTTCTGTTTCCAGAATTCGGTACAATATAAGAATAGGCAATATTTATATGACTGTTGAAGATTTGCAAAGTGCTTTTCATTTGTTCTATTATTTGATTTTCATGGCAACACCAATGAGCTTGGTGATATTATTATTTTCATTTTGCAGATGAAGAAACTGAGGCTGTGAGATTCGGTGACTAGCCTAGGGTTGGCACAGCTAATGTCTGGGTTGTTTCTGTGCTTTTCATACTATGTGGACACAGAAGCTCAAGGTGTGGATGGACTGGCACACTTCCTTTCAATTCCTTAGGAACTGAACTGTGGCCTTCCTGGTTCTAAGTCTAGCTCTCTATTCACTGTGCCACCTAGTTTCCT